GTGTCCACCCCCAGTGGGAAACGCTCAGAGAACTGAGAGAATGCATTTGATGTTCAGTTGCACGTGTCTACCCCCACTCCATATCCCTCCCACCACTCTTCATCACTGTAAACTCAGACATGAATACACATCCATCTTCCAGTCAACCATATGGCAGCTAGGAAGTAGGGGCACTCTCTAAAACTCAAAAGACACTGAGTAAAGCAAAGCTTCTTGGGTTTAGGGAGCACATTACATGATTAAAGTGCCTGTCAGCTTGGGTATTTTTGGGCAAAGAGAGTAATATGCAGGAAAGAAATCCTCGAGAACACAAAGAGGTGCATAGTGGAGAATCGCCTTGAGCAGTGTTGGCTTCTCTGGCATCCCTGTTTGCCTTAACTGTACCATTTTCATGTCCTGGAATGCAAGGTTGGTGAAAGTAAAGCATAGTCCAGAACTGGCGATGATGGACCTGGAGATTCTAGATTGTCTTCACAGCTGCTGATCACTGCCTCCCAGTTAGGAAAATCTAGTGTTCGTCTGAATCCACGTACTTCAGACCAACAGTGTTTGCTGCTGTGTGAGGAGTGTGGTTGGCTGTTTGGTGCCTGCTATTTCATCTTTACATTTCTTCATAGTCATTTCTGTTCTTCCTGGCCCCCACTTCCTGTCTACGTACAGAATCTTACTGTGGAATTTTTACTACACATCTTGAACATCACAGTCAGTTGTGAAATGTCTCCTCTCCCACTCCTTTTCTAGTCCTCTCACATTGTATCTTTCCTTGCTTCTTTCATACTCTGTGTGCCAGCCCTTCCTAAGGTCACATGTTTGAAGATGCCACACTTTGCTATTCATCCTGGTGTACTGACTCACTACATCACAAGCAGCATCATGTCTCCTGGTTGAGTCAAGTTTATTACATGAAGTCTACCACCTGAGGGCTCAGAAGTGGTAGATCATATCAATCCACCAGTACAGGGTGATACTCTTAAAAATGGTGATGCAGTTAGGTGTGGGGCACATGCCTGTCATCCTGGCCCTCAGAAGGCTGGAGCCTGAGAGCTCCAGTATTGGGTATCTACATCAGCCTAAATGACACAGAACCTGTCCAGAGACAGACAGAGAGAAAGAGAGAGAGATTCTTGGTAAGGAGATATATCCATAAAACAAAAGGAAATGACAAGTTATCAACTGTAGAGTTAGAATGACTTATTTTTATAACCGCAGAACATACATATATTCACATGCGTTTTCAAAGGAAAAAGACTCTGCAAGAGTGAAGTCTGTCGTCCCAGCAGTGAGGGGGATTTTGTTCCTTCTTGAATATACAACATTTTATAAAAATTTCACTAGGAATCTATTAGCTATACAGAAAGACAAATACTTTTCCAGAGAACTCACAAATGACTAAAAGGAACAAGAAGGAGAACACAGCATGATGAATTCAGTAAGTTGTATGATGAACTTACAGAATAGAAGTCAGGCTAAAAAGAGGAAATTGTCACTCTTATTTAAAAGAAGAGGGGGAGAGTGGAGGAGAAGAAAGAAAAAGAGGAATAGAAGAGAGGAAGGGAGGGGGGGAATAACATATATTTTAATAAGATTATAAGTATTTTACTGTAATTAAATAAAACATATGAAGGTAGACTGAGGCCATTGTCCTAATTAGCTATGCCAGTGAAAAAGACTCATAAGAGCAGAGGTTATTGCTGTGCCCATTTAGGTTTGTGTCTGAGGCCTGCAAACTAACAAAAGATCCATTAACAAGAGAAAGCAAGACAGATTCTATTCATATTTTTATGTCATTGGGACTTCATAGAAAAGTAAAAGTTTCACATAGAAAAGTAAAAGTAAAAGTTACACATCCAGGCACTAATACACCATTTTAACAAATGGCAATTACTATAAAGAAATGAGTTGTCAAAAGGAAGGTAGTTTGGGCTTCTGGGGTCAATAAATTGTGAGAAAGTGACTAGAGCACACTTTTGGGGCAATGAATTTCAGGTTTCATCAGTACGGTGTGCTCATGTGCTCACCCCAGTATTAATTCTTGGTAGCACCTCACAAGGGAGACTTTCACACCCTTAACACAGAGAATACAAGCCCTGCTCTCAGGATGGCAGAGACTTTTTCTTGTACCGTGTTGTTGATTTTTCAATTGCCTTATCTCAAAACGGTATTTATGCTAAGTGGCACATTTTGGGGTGCCCTGAGCTGAAACTGATAAAAGCATTCAAGACATTAAGCCTTGACATGGACACCATGATGCAAACAAAGTGCTAATGGAGCCAACTGTCTCCATCTCCTCCCAGATTTTCCATGTTTTTGAGTGGAGGGGGGAGATTCCTTCCTTTTCCCACAGAATTCCCCTAGGCACTTGGAGAGAAAGAGCTAGTGGGCAGTATCTGCCCAGTCCACAGCTCTCAGGAAGTTGTGATTATCAGGGATCTAGGTAGCATCCTTTCTTAGTCACAATGGTCTAGGCCTAGATTCTGTGACATTGTCATTCAGCTGTAGTAAAACCCAGTGGCAATAATGTTAGGACAAAAAATGAAACAGAATTTCAAATATTCCAGTGAGGCAAGTAAGAGGAGCCAGAGGGTTTAAAGTCCAGCAGGAAACTTTATGCAATTACAGTGGAAGTTGCTAGTATGTTTCATTTCTGTTGAGAAAGAAAATGCCATTTCCTTCTCAGGGATGATGAGCGCTGGTATTTTCCTACTGAGGAATTGCTTGTCCTTGTGCTCCTCCCTGAAAGTCAGCTGGTACCTGGGAATCTTCTGGGTGGCAGCTTTTTTTTCCGGCCAGTAACTAGCGCTTCCTCAGGCCTGGAGATATGTCTGAGTGGGCAGAGGGCATGCGCAGACAGGTATGGCGGGACACGCCTGTAATCCCAGCACTGGGGAGGTGGAAGCAGAAGAATCGAAAGTTCAAGACCAGTCTTGGCTTAGGAGTTCAGAGGAAGCCGGGCTACAGGAGATGCTATGTCTGTCTGTCTGGAAGTACATCTGGGGAATAGAGTTCTAAAGTGACTGCAAATCAACTCATTCCCAAACTGAAAATCCTCTTGTAAGTGTGACAGGAAGAGTTTGCTTCAACAGTGCTGCGGTGCACTGCCTTGGATGTCCAAGCAGCCGCGCCTGACTCTTGAATAACCCAGTGAATGGTCGGCAACACCGTCAGTGTCCTTAGAGCAGCTTGAGACCACTGAAGCTTTCCCCTGTGTGGAGAGCCCGTTAATTACCAGGTGTGAGTGTTCTGAAGACACAAATTTTATAGGAGTCTTGTTTTTTTGTTTTTTTTAAGTTTTTGAGTTACTAGAGTTTTTTTTTTTTCTTTTCATCTGAAATTCAGTTTAATTCACCATCTTTTATTTTACTTGCCAGATATTGCAAACATCAGCAGTCTCACTTTTGGAAACCTGTGTTTATAGGGAATAAGAAAAATGGAATAAGAAAAATTCACTAGAAGCTCCCTGCTTCCCTTCTGAAAAGAATTACCAATGTCAGCTATGAAGATAGGCACTGGATTTGTTTTAAATATGTTGAGTAAATTTGTTAAATTAAAAGTTGAAATGGCCACCATTGTTAATCTACAGTATTGAATTCTATTAAAATTTTGTTCTGGGATGGGACAAAATTACTAGAGCTCTGCTAGTAGAATGTTTGCTTACCACACGCAAAGCCCTGGATTCCATCGGTAACAAATACAGGGTGTGGTGCTGAAAGCCTACAAGCCCAGAACTAGGTAGGTGGAGGCAGGAGGCAGGAGAATCAGAAGTTCAAGGTCATCTTTGACTAAATAGCAAGTTGCAGTCAAGCTGGGAAGCAGAAGCCGGTGGATCTCTATGAATTTGAATTCTAAGACATCATGCTCTACAAAACAAGTTCCAGGCCAGCGGTGGATATATAAGACCCTTCTTATAAACCAGAGAGAGAGACAGACAGACAGACAGACAGAGAAACTATGTTGTTGTTATTGTTATGTATTTTTCTCTTAAATCTGATGAAAGCTTGCAGAGCATCAACTTTACATTTTAGACCAAGGAAATGCAGTCCTATTGTTGGACCCTTCCCAGGGCAAGCACTGTTGTCAGACTATGGAACTTCACCCTCCCTTCAGAGAATTGCTTTTCCTGCACCCCTGTGTTTTAACCCCTTCCAGGGACATCAGTGAAAAGCTGTTCCTGACAGCCTGGAGGCGCAGCCTTTCAAGGCAGGCCCACTAAAGCAACCTTCTGTAGAAGCTGAGTGTTCACAGGCACCGCAGGGCTAATCGAAATAGTGTTTTCTGAAAATCGGGCTGTCAAGTCTCAGGGTTCAGAAGCTGAGGGTGGGGTGAGGATCTGCTTTGTCTTTGTTGGTTTTTTGCCTTTTAGAAGAACATGGTGTTCCGTTAGTTCCTAGTGTATTGTTGAAATATCTGGTCAATGCAAACCACGTGTGCTAGTTAATTCCCCTCTGGGTTCTGTGAAAAATAATATGTTTGTGTATCCTTTTTTAAAGATTTTTTTTTCTTAAGTTATTTTTTTTCTGTGAAATCCAGGCCATACAACAAATAGAAGGAAACAGCTTTCCAGGAAATGTCTTAACACATTAACGAAAGGATAGTGAACACATTCAACATATAGATATTAATCACGAGCTTCATTTTTAAATTACATGTAATTATTAATAATGGCAATGAAAAAAGTTTAAAGGGAATGTTGACAATATTGAAAATATCTATGAGGAATGTGAAAAAAAAAATGGATTACAAGAAGTCAGAAGCAAGAAAGTTGTCTTCCTAAGCTGGGAGCGTGGCTCAGTTGGTACAGTGCTTGCCATGCAAACTTGAAAGCCTGAATTCAGTCCCCAAAAATCCATGTGAAAAAGCTGTGATAGCACTGACTCCGACTCCATGATTACAGGGACAGACACAGAAGAATGTCACTTGAGCAGAGCCTGCAGGAAAAGCTGCTTAGGTCACAGCTTGTTGGTTGGGGAAACTGACTGAACTCATGTGTCATTTTCTTGCAGGTGGACTTGGGCCTCCTGCGATTTGTCACTGCAGTAGGGACACAGGGTGCCATTTCCAAAGAAACCAAGAAGAAATATTACGTCAAGACTTACAGAGTAGATATCAGCTCCAACGGAGAGGACTGGATCACCCTGAAAGAGGGAAATAAAGCCATTGTGAGTTTGGCTCCTGCCCCTTCCACTCCCCTACTAAAGTTTTTCACATACATGATGATCAATTTTTATTTGTTTGTAGGGGGATTTTTTTTTTTTTGTTAGGCGTGGTTTATTTTTTTGAATTGATTTAAAATGAAAAGTGCAATTAGAGGTTTAAATCTGACTGAAGGGTCTCATGTTCCCAGATCCAAAGGATAGAAGGAAGTTAAACAGATGTTACTAAAAAGGAAAGAATCAGCCAAATTAAAGGACAAACTCAAAAATCACCTTCATCCCCAGGGACAGACTGAGGCAGATAGAATGCACAAGTTAACACTGCCCACCTCAAGAATTCTTGGTGGTTGTTTGGCTTCATTTATTTGGGTTTCCCCTTTTGTTTCTTCCTTCTTTAATAGATTTTTCTTTTTTTTTTTCCTCTCCGTAATGGGCTAGCACCCTTTCATCTACCCTCGGGGCTCACAAACTCATTTACAAGTGCACTTGGCTGTCGCTTGTAAGAGGAGAGCTGTGGGTGGTTTTCTGTGTTCTTTCAGATCACACAGATAGCATGCTGCCTGGTCACTTGAGGCTTCACCAGTGAAGTAGTGGAGTCCAGCTTTAGTGCATTCACCCAGCCCTCTGTCATTCAGGTACTGAGATGTTTTCCTCAGCCGGCCTGCTTATTTGAAGTTATACCTGCTCTGATTTATTAATCAAAAGATTTTTGAGAATTCGTATTTGATGTTAACCCATAATCAAAAACTTGAGAGGCCGGAGAGCTACTCAGCCAGTAAAACTTACCACACAAGCATGAGGACCTGAGTTCCATCTCTAGAACCCATGTTTTAAATATATATAAACACATGTACATACACACTGAGCCAGTGAGATGGCTCAGTGAGGAAAGGTGCTCACCATCACCCAAATTCCATTCCCAGGACCCAAATGATGGAAATGGAGAACCACCTTTCCCAAGTTCCACATGTGTACCATGGCATGTACCTATTCAAAAATAGATAGATGATAGATAGATAGATAGATAGATAGATAGATGATAGATAGATAGATAGATAGATAGATAGATAGATAGATAGATAGATGTTAAAAACAAAACCAAAGCAGAGAGTGCTGTGTTATGCCAGCTCTGAGCTGTGGAAATAGGAGGATCCCTGAGGCTCATTGGCAGGCCAGTGAGAGACACTGTCAAAACACTATCTAAGAAATTACACTGTGGCTGCCCCCTGTCCTAACACACACACACACACACACACACACTGCAAGGAGGAGGTCAGTTAAGTTCACATGGTCTCAGCTCACTTGAACACTCAACTGAAGAAAGCCTCTCATGGAGGGCAAGCAAGATGGAGGCAAGTGTAGGGAAACGTCTGCTCTGTGGAAAAAAGAGTTCCGTGAAAGATTCTGTGGAGAGAGAGTACAAGGCTAAGAAAGGTGGCAGGTATGGAACCCCATCTGCACCTGGGACACAGGCAGTACTGCCCCAGGGTTTCATGATTTTCTGTTTTGGTGCAACAACAGCCCTGAACACACAGACTTTCCAAGATGAGAGACTGAGGGAGGATGCAGCAGGGCTGAGATTTGGCCTATGGGGTCTTCACTGAACCGAAGTGAAACCAGAGCACATGCAGTTAGCAGCCCTCCCCATTTCGTCCAGCTGTAGACCTCACCATCTTTCCTTATTTTGTCAGTTGGACAATGACAAGGTCAGCCTTCAATCCTAGCCTTCCCTGACAGTCCTCATCCTATGGACAGAATATGAATTTGCATGCAGGAAATTCTCATCATTAGCAGAATAGGTGCACACCCACCCCTGGTCTGTGCAAGGACTCCTCAGCCAACTCTCTAGGGGAACTAACTGGTCCTAGAAGAACAAAATTATTTAAGTGCTACTACTTCTGGAAGCTTTTCATTGTTTTGTCACATGAAAATGTAGCCATTCGGATTGTTTCCTAGAAGGAGAAGCCGAAGCTGAAGCAAAGTACAGGGGGCATTTTTGGTTTTGCTGCAGAGAGGATCATAGGGTCATGCAAGCTCAATGGAGTGAAAGCACCAGTCTGATGACATTGGTGTATTCTTTCTCTGAAGGGAAGAGCAAAGCTCAGGGAACTTCATGGCACATTCTGTAAGATGGGGAGAGTCTCCGTGTCCTGCAAGGAAGGCTCTGCTTATAATACTTGAGAGATGGTGGGTTGTCATAGTGCTTGACACACCACACCACAGAGAACAGTTCCACAGAAAACTACTGGTTTTATTACTTTATGTAGAGGGGGTGGATTTTTGAATCAGGGTCCTTGCTTATCCTGGAGATCTCTGTGTAGACCAGACTAGCCTTGAACTCACGGAGATCCACCTGCCTCCGCCTGCTGACTGCTGGGATTAAAGGCATGTGCCACCACTGCCTTTAATCCCAGTTTAAATACTGTTTAAATACTGCTGCTTTTCAAGGCCATCCTCATCCATAGTTGACCTGCAAATGTAGAAAACAGCCTTCCCTCTTATCTGAGGGAAGGCTGGTGCCAGAACGTTTCATGATGGCTTACAGAGATCCTGTAAACAACACCCTGCATTCCAAATGGTCCCAAAGGAAATTTTCAGGCACCTGATTTATATTGGGCCTTGCCTTGGTGGTCACATGCCTCTTTGTTCTTAGAATCAAAGGATCCATTTGTACCTAGAAGCAGAAGATTAAGAATTTTCAGATAAAAGTCATGTATTATTTAGTTTTGCCTCTGACCACTGTAGCACAATTTTACCAATAACTCCTAACTATTAAAACCACTGATGCCTGACTAAGAACATTTGCCAAGGGACTGAGTAAGCACGGAAGCTGGGGATGTGGCTCAGTGGCTGGAGTACTTGCCTCATGTGCACAAAGCCCCAGTCCAGTGTCCATCCCAAGTACCACACAATCCACACACATGGTACATACCTGAAACCCCATCACTTGAGAGGTAGAAGCAGAAAGATGAGGAGTTTAAGGTCATATTCAGCTACCCAGTGCATTCAAGGCTGGCCAGAGATACATGCAACAGTGTCTACAAAAAGAAGTGAGGGGGGTGGTGGAGGAAGGAGGGCACTTGGCTTAGGTTTGTATCTGAGAACATGAGCTAGAATTTCAAAAAGCCTACCTAAGCCAAGAGCATTCCTTTTGGGAGCTGTTGTGGAATGTGTGCGGCTGTGGCTCTTCAGGTAAAGTTAACAACTTCTCCCATTTGAGGATGACAGTGTGTGTCCTTTAATAAATGCCATCCGTGTGACAATGCTTTTAGAAGCTGTAGCCGTTCAAGCAAGAATACATGATTGGGGTGGTATTCTACGTTGGACAGGGTTCTCTTTGATTACAGTTATTTGGGAAAATGACATGACAGGTTGCTAATGGCACACCAACCTTGGTAGAAAATGCTAGAATGGTAAACAATTTCTTCAAGCATTTGTGGGCAGTTTCTGGGATTTATTTCTAATAGTTTAACACCCTCTTTCCCATCTAGATCTTTCAGGGAAACACCAACCCTACAGATGTTGTCCTTGGCGTTTTCCCAAAACCACTGATAACTCGATTTGTCCGAATCAAACCTGTGTCCTGGGAAACTGGTATATCTATGAGATTTGAAGTTTATGGCTGCAAGATAACAGGTTAGTGTCAATATGGAAGCTGCCCCTTGAATTAATGCAAACTTTTCCGTTCAAGGAGAATTTGTTCATTCGTTCAAATATGAAGGCAATCTGCTCATAGTTATTTGGTAGGTAAGGTCTGTATTGGTTACTCTTCTCATTGGTGTGACAAAATGCCTAACAAGAGGAAACAAGAGAAGAAGGGCTTATTTTGGCTTGCAATTGAATTGTACACAGTCCACCATGGTGGAGAGGCATGGCGGCAGGAGTGGGAGGCAGCTGGTTACCCTGTATCCAAGTTAGGAAGCAGAGAAGAAACAAAAAGCTGGGTGAGCTGCAAAACCTCAAGGTCTGGCCCCAGTGACTCACTTCGTCCAGTGAGGTGCTATGGCCTAAAAATTTCACAACCTTCCCCACAAGTTCCAGCTGCTAGAGATGAAGTGTTCGAATACATGTGCCTGCCGGGGAGACGTCACGTTCAAGCCACAATGGCCTGTACACTGGATGTGGACATGTCTGAACTCAAGTTCCACCTTAACACATCAGCCATTTGTAGGGTGGTTTACTTAGTTTCCCAAGCCTGCACACACACACACACACACACACACCCAGTTCTAAATCCCTACAGGCTACACCTCATGGCAGGTGGGGAGATGGACATTAACAGTCAGCATAGTGTGTTGAATGGCAGAGATTCTGTCAGTGCCCCTCCCTATTTCCACTGAATGCCGTCTCTGAGCAGGCACTGGCCTCTGCTCCGTGGGTAGGCAGCATGCTGACCATCACTATCAAGTCCTAATAAATAGCTGCTTCGTGGAAGGCCCCACACTGGCTTTTTTTTTTTTTTTAATTTTTTTAATTTATTATTTATTTATTTATTTATTTATTTATTTATTTATTTATTTATTTA